TTGTCTTTCCAAGCAGAAGGCAGGGGATGGTCCTCAGGCTAGAAGCTGGTCTGGAGCTGGTCTGTTTGGTGCTGGGGTGCTCTCATCACCTCAGCAAGCTTTTTCCTCAAAGTGGAACAGTAGCTTCAGGGCTCAGCACTGGGCCAGTGATTAAGCAAGATTAATACATGGATAAAAATCCATGTAAAATGTTGAAGACCTGGATTCAGCTCCCTCTTTTGCCTACTAGAATTCAAATTTTCTTCCCTAACCTCTCAGTTGTATTGATGTAGAAGTAGAAGAAGGTAATGTGCAAAAAAGAGATTAGTGGTATAACATTAACATTTAAAATTTGAGAGAGACATTTTGACAAGTAGCATGCTGTGAATCAGATTTTTGTTGCTGAAGGATTGTCAGCAAGGTTTCATCTTTCTTGTGTGTAATTTGAAAAGCCAAGAGAATCAGATGTTCTCGTTTTGAAGCCTACAGAGGCACGATTTTAACCTGCGCAATGAGGAAAATGGACTTTTAACTGCCCTCAGAGCATGGCCACATTATTCTCTGTGATTAATTCCAGTTGGCTTTAGAGCAGAATTTGTAAGCAGAACTTCAGGGTATAGAAAAAGAACAGTAGGAGATGAATATGTAAGTAACAAATATCCTGTTTCCATGGAATTATGGTGAAGGAAGACAAATAAATACATTTTACATATATTATAATTGCTGCAAATAGAGGGTTCTCTATGTTGTCAAAGAGCAGAGAAAAAGATTATCGAAAATACTTCTTAGGGGTTCAGGTCTGACACCATGCATGTTTTGTGTTCACTTCCATTGGCACTAGGGAAAAAAGAGCATTCTTTTTTTGATTGCTGATTTTTATACAATAGGAATATGTGAAATACAAATACCACTTACTGGGAATGTTCTTATTATATATTTATTAAAAAGTTATTTTTCTTCCCTAGATAATATATGCAAAGAAGTAATCAAGTACAATAGTTTGGAGAATTAGTAATTAATTCTTTGTAGAACATAACGCATATCACTCTTATAATCCAGTGAAAAGCAGTGATTCTTGTAAATCTGCCTGCCTTTGTAATAAAGTACTGTCCTGTGGTGTATATGGGAAAGGTTTGGGTCCTTTGCACAAAGCTCTGTATTATAAAATTGAAAAGCTGAAAATTTGTAATTTACTGTAGTAAGACAGACCTTTGAACCAAATATTTGGGATAGACTTTACCTATTTTTTTTTTTGCTTGTGTTTATTTTTAATAATATATTTTTGTTATGGCAAAATTGACAAAATAGGTTAGTAGAGATTTAGCATTCATATCCTGGAGACAGCCTGAAGAGTCAGCTGCTTGCACTGTGGCCAGATCATCAATACTCTAACAGTTCATCTAAGTTCTTAAAAATCTGCAGTTAAGATTTTACAACAGTTCCTACTAGGCTGTTCTGGTGCTTGAAAGCCTTGAAAGGCTTTTGCGATCATGGAACCTTAGTCCTTTTTTCCCTTGCATGTTAAAATACACATGGGTTTTATAAAGGAAGAGAGGGATGAGTTATAAAAATAAACGTATGTAGACTGATTATTTCAAACAAATAGTAACTTTTGGTCTAAGTATTACATTTCCCACAGTGAAACTACAGTATCAAAGTGGCCTACAGATAGATTGAATGCAGATCTGTATGGAGATGAAAAGCATCTGGTAGCACTGTAGTGTTGTCACGAGATGAAAGCTTCGTTGTAGCTAAGTTTATATTCGTGTTGTACCAATTAGCAGTTTCAGTGTTAATATTTTACAATTTGGCATGTGATCATGAATCTTATATTTTGAGCAGGTAAAAATGTAGCTTCTTGTCTTGCTTTTTTCTTGATGAGTTTGTTAGCACTCTACTTGATTTTGGACAGAAACAGAAAAAAAAACCTAAAGAGAGACTTGAAAAACTGTTATCATCAATTCTAGTGCAGCTTACACACTTAACACGAAGTCAGGTTACTTACCAACAGACATGGTTGTCACAGAATACCCTACCTAAAACAACGAATGGATTTCCACATTGTGACCAAACTCTTTGCTGGAGAAAATACTTTTGAGAAGACATCTAATAATACTCAGTATCCCTGATTTTAACTTTGTCCTGCAATGAAAAGTCTGTCTTCACTTGTTATCAGAGCCCTGTTGATCTCAGCTCTCTCTTTCCCTGATTCGTGCTGCTGCTTCTCTTCCTCATAGGATCTTCTATTTTCTTTTGTAAGAAAACTGACAAAATACAGCCTTGTCTTCCCCTTTTTCTCATGTCTTTTGCGTGCTTGTCCCCAAACTCTCTGTTTTCTCCTTTGTCATAGGCACAGAAATTATACTTTGGTTTATATTGTTTAATCCTGGTTTTACCGAGCAACATCAGTCTGTTTTCTAATCTGCTTCACACCTCACTGCTTCATTTTTCTTCTTAACATCTCACTTTCTTTTATATTAGGATTTTCCTGTTGATAACTGAAAAGCAGAGTATTATTAAAAATACATTTGGGTCAGCACGAAACAAATTGGGTTGGTGTCTATTTTTTATGTGAAATTGAAAACAAAATATTGTTTAGATTGTTTCTTCAGTGAATTTTGTTGCTTTGTTTTAATGTCTTTAAACTTCTATCACCACAACATTTTGTAGGAAGGAGATTCATAAGTTCATTTTACAGTAAGGCTATCCTTTGTTTCAAACCTGCCACCTGTTGCAAAACAAAAGGCAAAATATTTTTTTTTTACAAAATACTGTAGAAAAAAAGTTAGACTGTCTCTCCAGATTTTCATCAAGGCTTCATCTACCAATTCTTCCTGTGCAACAGTTCTAAGGTACAGCCATTGAGTTGCATTTCCATACACTTACCAATCTGAAGCATCACCCAGGTCTTCCTGTCCCACCGATCAGCTGGTGAGATCCTTTCCTCTGGCCTCAGCAAATGCAGTCTTCTCACATCCACTCAGGATTCTGTTGTAAAGGAATGATATTTCTAGCTCATCCTTATGTAACTTTGTAATATCACACTTGTTTCATTTTTTCAGTTGTTTTCCCCCTTCTCTATAATATCACGGAGAAGCTACCTGTCTTCCTTTTCAAGGTGCTTCAGGACTCATTCCCACTCAATCATCACTTATTTACTGTTTACTATTTCTAACATTCTAAACGTTATTCCAGTACCTATTGTAATCAGTTTAACTCCGTCATACCTCTGTCCCTATTAAAACATCAGTAAGCTGCATGAATGAGTCACAATTAGGAAGAAGCACTATCATCACCTTCTCTCAGCACAGATGTCAAAGCCCTTTGAAGGGGGAGTGTTACCCAGCTGCTCGCTGTGTGTTACCTCTCTTTTCTGGACGTGCAGCGTGATCACAACCAAGGTTGAGACCTAAGCCTTGAACTGTATCAGGCTGACTGTGGTTAAATTGCCGACCCAACAAAATAATAAGATGGATAAGCACCATAGGGGTAATGTGTTACAATTTTAAAAGACCAGAAAACTGAAGTAATACCTGCAGTTGTGACAGGCTGAGGCTCTCAAGTGTGCAGTGTATACTGTGACTGCTGAATCAAGCCATCTTTCTTTCAAACTTTCCATTTTGTGTTCTACTGTTGAAGTTAGGAATCAAAAGTTTCCTGTTTTGTGAGTGCCAAGAACCAGGGTATAAATGTATACTTGTAATTCATTTTCAGAAATTTACAACTCACAACCCATTTGAAATTTATTCTTGAAATTGTATAAAGAACTTTTGGAGAAATAACCAAAGATGTAAAACTCAGAATTTGGAGCTTGGAAGATGGAAGTCAGAAAATTTTGTTGAGTTCCTTCAGTAGTAAGAATACATTTGCTAACAACAATGATTTTTTATTAATGAGGAATTGGATTGCTACTTCACGCTTCTCTCAGACTTCATGGAAGTGTTCTTTTCAGGACTAGTTAAAATGTCAATATGAAAGCTATTATTGTAGGTTCATCATTTCTTCTTGTATGTATTGTTTCTATAATTTGAGATGCTGTAATGCATTTGGGCTTTATATGTCAGATTAAGTTACTTGCTTTTAAACTTTTTTATCTTGATGAGGATTTGTGCTATTTAGGTTTTAGGACTGATCTCGTGCCCATGTCAGCTGTTGCTGGAAACGATAGAGACATTTGGAATCTGGAAGAATCAGATCCACAAAATCATCATGTCTCCTTGAAAGAATGCTGCCAGATTCCCAAATGAGTCAAGCCATATTTGAAAAATCTGTGGATCCAATTTACTTTTCTTCTGAGAGAATCATAAAGGGATTTACTGATAATTCAAAAGTCTCTTCTTGTCTACCAAGCCAATTGCTGTGTCATTGGCTAGATTTGGAAGCTCACAGGGTGGAAATTAAAGCATCACTTGCTGAGCCTTAGGATGGCATTCTTCCTTTCCCACCCAAGAAAAAGGGTCTATTGCAGTTCTGTATCCCTGGAACAATTATATTCCTTGTAAGCTAATGTATTCTTGGCGGAGTGCATTTTTCTATTTGCATGTGTTGTGTTATTTTGCTACTCATAAATTCTCAGCCTAGAGAATAACCTTTACAAAGGATGAATAAGAATTCCCTGTGGTTTATTATCTTCAAAGTTCCACTAGGGTATTCCATTTTTGGGAAGTAAAAGATCCAAAGTTTCATGTTCTCCAGGATGCTGGGAAATTAAATTACAGGTCTTAGCAATTGAAGCAAATAGGGACCATAAAGGCTACTCTTCATCTTCTGCTATTATTCCTCCTGAATTATGAAGCAACGGAAAGACCAAATTAAAAATTTTTTAAATTCCAGACCACTATACCTCTAACATGTGCGAACTGAGTATATAATAAGGATGTACATTTCTTATTGGGTAATTGAATGGAACTTCTGTTATTGTCAGTACATTGCTTTCTTAATTTTCTATGCATTATTCTAAAAATTGACTTCACGATGATATTGTTGCATAAAATATGTGGAACTTTTTATCTGTTTTATAGGGTTGTGACTCTCAAATGAGCATGTCAGAAGTGTCCTGCAGTGAAAGTACCTCCTCTTGTCAGTCTCTGGTACATGGCTCAGCTCCAGAAATCCTCGTTGGCCTCCTTTATAATGCTACAACTGGAAGATTATCAGCAGAAGTGATAAAAGGCAGCCACTTCAAAAACTTGGCAGCAAACAGACCACCCAGTGAGTGAAAATCTTTTTTCATCCTAATGCTTCTGTACTGGTGGGGCTCTCAGTAGCAAGGACTTCAATCCTATCATTTAGTCTTACCCAATCAAAATGAAATAGAGCAATCATCAACTAATCTGTTTCATGTTTTATATTTCTAGTCAGTTGGGAAATAGCAAAAATCAAAAATTCAAAATATTAATTGTAAGTTGACAAGAATCTTTTAATTTTTCATGATGACTGACTAATAAATTACCTTTATCATAATGATTAATTGCTAAATTACTAATGCCTCACATCATAGGCCAAGAATAAAAAGTTGGTGTTTAAAGAAAAAGTACATGCCAGCTAATATTAATATAAACACTGTGAACTATTATTGCTGTTCCTAGAGGGGTTGGTACTGCTGTCTTTAATTGCTTGTGTGCCTGTGTATATGTGGTAGTGATATATGTAACTTGGGAATGTCAGTGAAGACAGCAGAGAAACAAATTGAGACCTTTGGAATATTTACTGTGTAGAGGAACGTTCATCATTGGAAAGGACTTGAACTGTGTGTTCAAGCATTTGTTCAAAAATACATTTGTCTGAAATATCTGTGAACTTTATATGCTTTTAAATTGGAGCCAGATGGAATGTCACACACACAGAATGTTTTTACTGTCTCTAATTCTTTGAACTTGAGAAAGTTCAGCAATGAACTTTTTTAAAAATTAATTTTTATAGTTGTTTAGATGTTGAGTCTGATTTACATAAGTTGTAACCAGACATACCTGCCTCTTCCTCTTGATTTTGTCTGGAGGCTTCAGGTTTTAGCCCCTCTTTCTGTTTCTTACATCTTAGCCCCAGATTTGTATGGCACTAGCAGATTATCTGACACTACTAGATTATGTGGCAGGCTGCTAACATTTTATGAGTGGTTTGCACATCACGCTTTGTCTTCCAAGTTAAGGAAGTAAGCCAAACAACTTGAGACTTCTTTCTTTCTTGACCCATGTTTTATTTCATTTCTTAATTACATTTGGCTCAGTTTTACTTTCTCTATATTTTTCACACTGATGGAGCCAGACTTTGACAACATGGCCAGAGAAGAAACGTGAAAGAAGAATCTCTAATACTTTTATATAATTAGATAGCTGCTCCAGAGTCACATAATTGGAGGCAAAGCATAGAAATAGATGGGGAGAGCCAAGAAGACCCAAGGACACTGGGGTGGGGAAGGAATGAAAAGGAGAGAAGACCTGGAGAGAAGGGACCATGTGTTCCCTTAAAGGAAAAAAACAGTAGGTGGCTTATGCTTATCTTTCTGGAATCTCTGAAGAAAGCCAAGTTTTTCTTGAAATTTAGAATATGCAAGTTAGATGGAGGCTCAGGACTTGTTTTGAAGAAGTTTTTTGTTCATTCCCTGGTATGTTAATTCCCTAAATGTGCTCTGTGGGCCCATGCTGTGTCGCTAACCGTTGTGTGTGTCACTGGGGTCAAAAATCGGTTTCAGATTGTAAAAAAAGCAGCATGGAACATGGGACATAACCTGTAATACCATGTTTTGTCTAACATTTTTGTAGGGAAGATCTTGTATGCTACATTTTGTTACCCCATGTGAAGGATAGGAGGAAGTTTTGATATTCATAACAATAATGATCCAGATCTGTTTAGGCAAATGCAAGTTTAGAGTTTTGTTGTTTCTAGAAAGCTGGAAACTAATGCACTTTCTGGGTCTGGTAAGACCATGCAGAGAGTATTGTGGAATCCAAATTTCTCCTGTGGGTTGTTTGTTGATGTCCCTCTCCCACCCCCGATAGCATATTCTTGTGAACTCCTGGACCCAGGTGCATACATTTCCTAACCCCCTGTCAAGTGCATTGTGGACGTGTCCCAGCCTCTCTCTGTGTCATCATTTCCACACAATGAAAACTAAGGCCCATAGGGTTGATGATGAAACGCTCTGATCAAATTCACTGTTTGGACCATCAGTGGTCCAAAATCCTAAGTACATGCACAGAATGATTCGAGTTGGAAGGGACCTTAAAGATCATCTACTTTCAACCTCCCTTTCACGGGCAGGGACAACTTTCAGTAGGCCAGGTTTCTGCACAGACAGGTCAGTGTTCATTCGGGTCTTGAGAAACTACGATAGAAAGGGAAGCAATTATTCTTTCCCACGTGTTCCTTTCTGTAGTCTAGGGGTTGTGAACCTATGCAATTTTTCTTAAGTGCTTCTGCACCAAATATGGATTAAGTCCTACATTTCTGCTTATTGGTAGTGTATACTCCTCTGCTGAGTATTATATGTTATATAGTAACTCGTTTAGCAACTGAGTACAGGCAAATAGGCCAAATCCTGCAGTCAATAACATTTCATGTTAAAATGTGTCTTTGTTTCTTTGTGTGATATTTAGTATTTCATCTGATAAAAAGATGCTTCTTAGTAACCTTTAAAATTTTGTTGAAACGGTTACAAGCTTTTACACATTAAATGCATGTGTGTGTATGCATGCAAACACACATTAAATCCATAAATACATGGATTTTAACCAGTGAGATCCTTACATTTTAAATAGAGACCCATAGCTGAATTTCAGATGCAAGCATCCCTTGGCTATTTTTAGAGATTAGATCAGAGTCATTCTCCTGCCCAAGTCCATCACTACTCAAGAACTAAAGTGTTGTAATCAAATGTCTGTAATTATAAAAGCTAAGGGCAAAACCAGCTTAGTTTTCAGTTCAGTGATTTTTCATTTTATTGCTTCTAATATATGAAGTATAATTACTGTGTGCAGTTTTTCTTAATATGCTGGAGTTTGCATGAAAAAGCATAAGGTTTGATAAAAAGGTTACAGTGATTTTTACCCAGTCTTCTCTAACCTAATCGTTTGCATGATTCTTTCTATGTTGAGTGTGATTTAGAACCCTGTAGCTATTAGTGCTAAGATAACCCATAATAAAAGCGGTGTAATTTTTGTTAAAGATTACACAAAAACTGCACAAAATCTTCATGAAGTTTTACCCAACAGTCCTTTTGTTCAATCCTTTTTCTGATCTATGCTGCTAAGGTTTTGTGTTCTTCCACTCCAGTGAATAGTGTTTCCTCTTAAACTTTAACCTTTGATCCTCTCTCACCCAACTATTGACATCTGGTCATTATTTCTTTTACTGCTTTCCACCCCCTGTTGTCAGATGGACTGTTCTGTTGTCTAAAACACTTGATAGGTGGACAGGTTTATATAATCCGAGGTGAGTTCCTGTAGAAACTAATTGGATGTTGTCTTTTTCATGCAAAAGAAAATTTGCCAGCAGTAAAGCTATCCATGGCTGCATACCATATTGGTTTCTAAAAGTATATCTTTATTATTTGTGGCACTCTCTAATGCAAAAGTTGCATCTATCTCTGATTATGGATGTTGGAATTTCAGTGTATGTCAAAGCGAAAATATCCAATTTGCTTCTTTTTACACAAACTCCAATGTTATTCATTAACATGAATATGACAGGAGTAAAGAATGAAAAAACAGATTGTTTTATACAGTTCTGTGTTTCCTAAAGTCAGTTATAACTTCATGAAATGCACATCCTTCTGCAGGAGCATGGCTTGGTGCATCTTTAAAAATAAAGTTTTATACCCAAATAGTAACACCCAATGTGTGCTAACCACATTTACTTGCATCAGCTTCTTAAATGTATTTCCTAAGAGCACTGTACAAGCTATGTTTTAAACAACCATATTGAATTATGGAAAAAATTATTTCTCTTCAAAGGTGTGTTAAATGTATTCCTTCATGATTCTAGGAATTCAGAGGGGTTATTGTGTTGTGTAAACTTCCACCTTTGAATGCACTTTGCTACATTTTGGTCTTTAAATAAAATTGAAAAGTCCAAAGTAAGAACCACATCCATGCAGAGATTATTCTTAAGCATTTCATTCTGGCTGTTTTGATCTCATCACTGCATATCAACATGTTTTTTTATTTCTTTTCATTAGTTGCTTTTGTTCTACTTTGTTTATTTGTATTCTCTGAAAATTCAGTGTTATGCTTTATGTTATTGTGGCTAGTTGGAGCTTGCTAAGTGTTATTGCAACTTAAGTTTGTTTAGAACAAGTAAATGGGGGGTCAACGGGAAGAGGATTATGAGGTATACCTTTAACTTAACCCATATACATAGTAGTGAAGCTAGTTAATTTGTTATTGTGTTTGTAATATTTTGCTTACTTGTCATCTTTTCATGTGTCTAAACTAAGCTGTGTTCAGTCAGCCTGGTATACACCATATCCTTGCGTCTTGTAAATATCTCATTCTCAAAAACTTTTGTTCTAAGACAGCTGATATTCCAAAATATGGTTTATTTTGTAGATACATATGTTAAGTTAACACTGCTGAACTCGATGGGGCAAGAGATGTCCAAATGCAAAACTTCCATCCGCCGAGGACAGCCGAATCCAGTATACAAAGAAACCTTCGTTTTCCAAGTGGCACTGTTTCAGCTTTCAGATGTGACGCTCATACTCTCTGTATATAATAAGCGCAGCATGAAACGAAAAGAGATGATAGGGTGGATTTCCTTAGGTCTCAACAGCTCAGGAGAAGATGAACTCAATCACTGGACTGAAATGAAAGAATCGAAAGGACAGCAAGTATGTAGATGGCATACTTTACTGGAGTCATAATGGATGCTACGAAGTGCAGTCGTGGTTTTAAGGGAGTTTGGTCTTTCCAGAAGATGATCATCCCTGGGACACGATCAGCAGATTTGTTGTGGAAGTAAAGAATGAAAATTGAGGTCAACATTCCATCGTAAAGAACGCACAACATGCAAAATGGCGGGATTTAATATATAGCCTTCACTTAGTGTCAGACACTTCCTTGGTGTCAGAGAAGCCTTGCTGTACACAGATACGTTATTGGTCCCTCCCCCATCCACCTGATGCTGTATTCGTTTGGGTTTGTTTTGTGGTTTTCAGAAACATTTTATGTAAGGTTCTCCAAATTAATGTAAGCTCCTCCTTGTGTACTTTTTGTATTGCTCTAATACTGTAGCTTCTGACCTGCCTGCAGTCAGATTAAAGGTCAATAATTTGCACTTTGATAAAAAGTTAATGATCTGTAGAGCGAAAGGAAAAGAAAAAAACCACCGGTGGAGAAGAACACTTAGTAATATAGCATATATGGATATACTGTTGTTTTACACTGAGTTTCTTTCCAGGAGCTTAGTACAACTAAGTTTTCATTTTTTGATATGCAGTTGGTTTGAAAAATACTAGCATTTGGGCATCAGGTGAACTTTGACATCAAACTAATGTTTCTTCAATCTGTGACAGGAACGAGCTCTTTATATGGCATAAATTGGGTTTTTCCCTCTTGCCTGTACTTCTGCCTGATCCAAAGAGACCAGATCATTAGTTTGGTCCCTTCCAAATCTCCTTAGACAGGTTGTACTGTAAAACTATGTAACTTTCTGTTGAAAGCACTTCCTGTATTCATGTATTCCAATGTAGGAAGCTCATAGAGCATGACTTTACTAAAAAAATATTTTCGTTAAGCAAATTGATACAGATTTCTTTAAAATGTCAGCAGTTGGAAGTTAGGTTGAAAGCCTGTGAAGGAAGTGGCAGCAGTTGAACTACTCTGAATGACACAAAAGACTGTGACTTTGGTTGAAATAGGTATCTGCTTGAGTCTCTTCTGAGCTGTTTTAGGGATTACCATATGCTGTTGTTGGAAGTAGAGAGCAGACCAGGAGTTTTTACCTTTCTTCTTGGAGAAGAGAACATCAGTAAGTTATTTTTCTAGTGATTTGCCAGCAATTGAACGAATGTTCACACCCAAAATAAAGGTTTGCTTTGTTTATATTCAAGTTGGGAAACACAGCTTTCTAATGACACAATTGAGAAGCTTCAGTATCTCAAGAAAGTTTGCCATCTGATAAACACTCATGGCTTCCATCTAAATTAGGGAAATATCAGTGCTTCTGAGATTCCTGTTTGTCCTAAATACTTTAATTGGAATCACTCTAGTTGAATGACTGCTGAATCCAATTCATATTATTGAAATTGTGGACTACTGAGTAAACATATTTTTAAAAAGCTTCCCAATTCAAATATTCTTTTTGCCTGTAATTACAAGTTTCATTTAATCTTAGTTGTTGCTGTATGGAAACTGATTATTTTTCTTATAAGTGATGGTGACGTCTTACTAATACGAGGCCTCACTGACTGTTGTAGCACTTGGTGGGTAGAAGAGTGAAGTTTTGGATTTTGTTGAGAGAATTAGTGGTAGCCTAGAGCATTCTCATTAGGACAAATGTTTTTCTCTCAAATTTCTTTATAATACTACCTTTGAACAATCCTGGCTTCAGGGTATACCGTCAAGTACAGTGAGATCGGAGACAGTGAGTATGCTATAATAAAGGTATTTCACATGGTTCTCAAATTCTCACACAACTTAACAATTTCATTAAGCCCTTTTTGGTAATTTCACTACTTGGTTTATTTGGTGCCTTTTGAGGGATTTATTTGCAAAGCCAGGCTTTCAGTTTTTATTGATTTAAAGATTTAAAACGTTCTTACAGGCCTTTTTTTTTTTTTTTTTCCTTCTGGTATTGTGCTGCTGCTTCATTTACAGAAGCTTTATTTAGTAAATATAAAAATAATGCAAAAACTTTCTTTAAGCAGGAACAGTCATGCAGTAATACAATATGAGTTGTCTCTTTCAGTCCTTTTTGTTGTTCAGTTTGTGAAATGTAATGTTGAGTGTAGAATTTAATAAAAAATCAACATTAATTTTATATGCATAAGAAAAATGTTCAGATTTTCCCAATCCTGTCAGCTTTCCATATAGTAGAAACTCTGACTTAGAAGCTGATCAAAAGCAATTTTTCAATGGATGTGGAAGTGTTTTCACTCATTCTGTTTGTGGATATTTGGATACTCTTTCCTAAAGGTGAAAGTTGGTTCTTGATGGTTGTTTCTGTACAGGTTTTGCTTTATAAAATGATGTACGGTATTTAACAGCAAGAACTGAGCAAATTAATTCCAGTGGAGAATGTACGTAACATCACCATTGAACAAATGAAGATATCAGTTTGGAAGGTGAAGCAAACAACCTCTTACAGAACCAAACTAAACTGTAACATGACTTGGGCTTCTGTTTGTAGGTTGCATTGCTTCGGTTCTACATCTAACCACTCAGATTTCTAAGGCGCTGAAATCTAAATTTAGACACAGAGATTTATAGCAGTCTGTGTTGGGCACATTTGGGAAAAGGAATCTCTTTCTAGATCATGTGATTTTCCCAAGGTATCCAGGTTCAGTCGGTGCTTTGCAGGAAGTTTGCCTTACTTGGATTTCTGCTGTGTGAAGGCTGGGAACTGAATGTATAAAGAATGGAAATGAATGTTTAATTTTGAGGCAGTAGAATACGGATTTGTCACGCAAAACTGGTCACACCAGTAATTGGATTCACCCTGGGATTGTTATGATTTAGTTACAGTATCAATAGCTGTCATGTTGTTTTTTCTTCCTAGATCCCATTCTTATGATTTGCTTGTCATTTTGTTTTTCTTATTGCTTTATGCAAACCTATACTTTTGTATTTGAAATCTGCCTTTAGATATTGGGGTTTTTTAAACCCTGTGTAAGGGCTTATACATACAGTGTGGTTTTGTGCATTCAGTTAAATCTTTAGCGTGGAACAGAATTTCTAAAGAACAAAGTGTCCGAAGCAAATTAGAAAGAGGCATTTGTGTTTTCCTCAGAGTTGTCTGTGCTTTTTTTTTCATAGCTTTTTGTTGTTTACCTTTGTTTGAAGGTACAGTTAGTACTTGGAAGAGTTTATCAAATTACTTAATTACTTTTCTGTGTGCCAATATACCATGTAGAGATTACAGTTCTCGAATCTGATTCCTGACAACGTAGCCTTAAATAATTATAGACCAGTGACGTGCTTACAGATTCTATTCTTGAAAACACTGCATCCTTTCTGCGTATGATCTGTTTTGTTTAACGTTTAGAACATTTCACAAAGTTTATCTCAAAGATAAACTCTTCTTAAAATATTATGAGAAAAGCTGGTTGGTCCCTTTCTGTGGTAAGGGCGGGATTGTCACGCAGCCTCTGCAGGACGTTGCTGTCTCCCACCTATGTGGAGGCAGGCGAGGAGTCAGCAGAGCTGTGCTTCCATTCCCCATTCAGGGCAGGAGGATGGCACTGGGGGGGTTCAAAGCTTGGTCCCCATGGTGGTCCTTCAGGCTCAGGGCTTGAGACAGCCATGTTGTAACCGCACCGCGAGGTCTGACTGCAGAGCAGAACTCAGGCAAGGTCTAAGTTCTGCTCCTGGAGAAATATGACGTAATTTCTAAATCCAGCTGAAGTCCTCTAACCTCATTAGTAATTAGATTTCAAAATATGGTGAGCCCTTGGAATGAATGTGCTCTTACTGGAGCTGAACACTCTTTATCAATTAAGAGAATACTTGAGCCAAAAGCAGATTTCATGGCATTTACTGTAGGAGATGTTTTCACCTGTAAATTTTTGCAACCAGTCCTGATGGCAAATGCAGGGCCAGCATCAATACCTTCCCATTTTTCACACCTTTCCAGCAATATGTTTTTGTTGTCTAAAATTTGTTTGTGTTACTGATTTATCCTCTTTTCTCCCTAATGACTTGCTCCTTGCAAACTCCCCAGCACCCTGAGAAGCTGTTTGTGGCAGTCACTGGACCACAGAAGTCAAGGGCACCCTGCACCTCTTACAATAAGGTACTGGTGCCAAATTGCTGTGACCTGTCTAACTCCCTAAGATTTCTGAAATGCAAACCATCAATTTTAATGGAGTGAAGCAGGGGAAGAAAACTTTTTCTTTGAAGGAGGCATTTTAATGTAGGAATTGAATACAGATCACTCTTACACATAGAAGTTCTAATAAAAAGCCTGTGGTAAAATCAGAGAATGAGGTTTGAGGGGAAGCCTTTTGGCCTGAGCTGTTCCAACCTGAAACTAATAGCAGAATGCCCTTTCAGTTAACTCAGAGCTGTACCAAACCCTTTACTTATTCATTACACTTTTCTGGAGGAAAAAAAAAAAGCTGTCCTATTTAAAGCAGTCTTTAATATTAGGGCTTGTCAGTTGTAAGGCAGACTGACTTCCTCCTGAAGCTGAATTGTCAGTACCAGCTAAACATCCATCTAATTCTCCCACTGAGGAATGGCATGCCCACCATTAACGTTAACGAGAGGAGCCCATGGGTGTCAACAGGAGCGTGGACCTGACCCTGAAAGCGTGAAGTGCAACAGGATGGGCAGATTAGAGCAGTGGCACCGCAGGGCACCTGCAGCACAATCACATGGGCTTTCAATTATGAATGGAGGTAAAAAAGCAAATACTCAGATACAAACGTGTTATTTAATCATTATCCCTTATTTTTGTTTTCTCTTTTCCTCAGCTTCGGAAATATTTTTTAAATTTTAATATTAAAAATGTTAAAGCAACCCCCAAACATCTTGATCATTTTGACTGGAGCATTCAGCAAAGTTTATTGTTGGAACAAGCCATCAAGAATGTTTTGTATTTTGGTCTATTGAACTCAACTGCCAGATTTTGTAGCACGTCACAGCTGGATTTCAGACTCCTTCTTCTGATGGTAGTTTTTGAGGGGAAAGTCACGGGAGTGTTTGCTTGTCAGTGAGTGAATCAACGCCTGATGAAGAGATGTCATCTGAGAGTGAGAGCATTTAAATTAGAGACGGCTTCATAAAGTGGCAGCGACACAAACTCCACTCTTGGAGCTTTGTGGCCCTCAGAGGGCCCTACTCAGAGAAACTGTGACACGTGAATTGTAGGAGTTAATACCTTCAAAGCGGCACAGCTCTGGGTGGGCACTCCATGGTTTCTCATCTAGTATATTTTACAGATGTAAGCAGGGTAGATAGTGTTTACTTGGCTAGGGTGAGTACCGGCTGGCCTAGGGTGACAGGGATTAGTTTAGCCTTAACAATTTATCACTGCCCCTCCTTAATTTCAAGCAGGGTTTCTTCCTTTCTGCAGACTCTGCAGAAATCTTCTACACCCAACGTATCCGCTTATATTATGCCTACCCAAATAGGGCACAATTATATTAACGCTGGCAAGCTTAGTTCACGTGTAACGTGGTGTGACTGAATTAATCAACTGGTGGGATACATGCTGGATTAGGATTTGCTGTGCAGGCTTCTGCTGGTGTAATAAAGAAATAAGATCCTTATGGAGAGGAATGTGTCAGGAGTCAGGAAAGCGGGTAGTACAGGTCCAGTAGGAATGAAGACCAGGAAACAGCTATGCCCAGAAAAGGGGCAAGGCTGGCTTGGTAGCAAGAAGAATTCATTCACTTCCTTGGAAGCATCTGCTGGTAGAGCTGGCATAAAACCTCCAAAAGCTGCCTGTCCCTGAGGACCCTACCCGGGAGAGCAGAAGCAGCAATACCACACCACTGAAGGAATACCTCATGGACATTCAGGGATGTAATTAATGTCATCCTTTTTTCTCTTAAATCTGAGAATGAGAGTCTTGCCCATTGTATCGAGTTAATTTTTATTTTTTTTTGTTTTTGCTGTGTTTTGCAAATCCTGTGGACACAGACTGCATGCCGAAGGTCTAAAGCGGATTGCTTTATAACTTTTGGTGCGTTTCCAAAGCATGAGTTTGAATGAATTTACAGAATTAATTAGAAGCATTATCATAGCTTTGAGATGTAATCTCTAGGCCATAGTGCAAGCAAGGAGCAGGGCTTTGAACAAGTTTTGATAGTAAATTTTGCAAATGGCTTATTATGACATTTTAAGAAAATTTCTAAGTAGTTGAATGTATTAGGGAATATTTACAAAAAAGGAGATAGAACAATGATCTTTTCTTACTATACAGCTAGTTTGCTGTCCTTTCCAGTAAACCATAAGGTTCATTAGTGCTCAGTACTGTTTCGTTTATGATAACTGTTTTTAATGTGATTTTCATGACCAAGTGTAATTAGTGAAACCTTTTACTCAATTTTTCCCTTTCTTTGCTTTTTTTAAGGAGAGACTTCTCCTTATATAGTATATATACTTTCTTACAGAGCTTTCTTACCTATTTTTATATAAGATGATTTAACAATGTAAAATTAAATGCTCTATGAGCAAGCTATATCACTGTTACACAATCTAAAGTGCTAATATAATGACTAAGGGCCTGAACCTACTGCCTTTTACTCAGGTCCTGGTTTAACCACGTCTTTCATGTTGTGCAGTACCTTTCCCTATAAACGGTTCCATCTATTTTTCCAGGATGACTCCAAGAAAGGCACTATTAACATGAATAACAGTGGTAAAACCGAGCCTCCTCTCCACTCTTAGCGGGACATCTGTCATGAGTAAAGGCTGCTGGCTCTGTCCCAAAAGTATAGTTATAGATTATAGTTCCCTTGATCTTCAGTAATTTTGAACTTGTTTTCTGGTGACTATAAGCTAATAACTGATCTTTGTGAAAACAAATATTGAGTCGTGCTGTTATCAGCAAGAGTATTAAAATGTGTTTCACATTTTAATTCATTCTTTCATTGGGATATAAGGAATTGAGTTTGTGAAGCGTTATATTGCATAGAGATAGCACACATTCACCGCATTTTTAAAAAGTAAGAAATATACAGTATGTAGCATTTTCTTGCATACTTTTATACTGCCTGTACGCCACCGATGCACTCGGTGCCTTCTTTCTTTTGTATAAAATGAATACATAGAGAAACTAAAGCTATCGTGCATAAGCAATGTCACTGCAACTGAAGAGTTGTCTTAACCTGATTATTTCTAGTGCAGGAGGTTTGAGGTGGCAGTTCAGTTTAACACGATGCATTTCTTTGGGTTTGAAGGTTTCCACTTCCCTTCCTCACCCCTCTCTCCCAGAAACCTCCCCATACAACTGTTTATTCTTAATTGATTCCTGTGTCTGATGTAAGTCACATGTTGTTAACCAAAGAACCAAGTCTGTTTCTAATTCTTTGGATAAATAGTGTTTGGACTTTCTATTACTTAAAGACAGAAATGATAGAATGGATCTCTTTGAACAAATATCAAATTAGGCATCTGTAAATGCGATTCACAGCTGAGAATTCAAGATACCTCTTTTCTGACTGGTTGTGCATTATTGTATCAGTAGCAAAGTGTTTGAGTTGTATTTCTTTGTGCAATTTAATCAAAATCCCACCACAAGCAAAAATAATAGTAAGTCAGTGCTGTCAAATTAGCTTGTTTTACCCATTTTATACCGGTATCTGAAGTGTGCAACTTTGAGAATAGATTCGGCTTTTCTGCGTCTGAAGTCCTGGTATTATCTAATAACTGTCTCGTGTGTGCTGATCTTACAGAAACAGACTCATGCTGCACTCTATGTACATTTCCTAATTGTACCCTCTTCATTCTCTTATTTATGTGATATAACACAGTTTTCAATGACTGTTTCAACTTGAAATTCCTTAAATTTCAGTGCATGTATAGCCTTAAACATTTAAGACACCAAGCACAGTTTTAAAGGGAATAGGTTATATTTGCAAGTCCTGTTTGGCACAGAAATCAGATAATTATTTTTATATAGCAATCAAAGATTGTAGAAAATGGGTATATTGCAGTCATGTTATCAACAATGCTCCTAATTGTATGCATTTTTAAAAAAGCATTTTTGCTGAAGTTTTCAGAAGTGAAATATCAGTGCTCGTTTTCTTTCTTGAATTTGCTTGTTTTGTTTTCGTGCTTTCATTTCTGTACAGAACCTTGGAGCCCCTAACTAATTCACTCCTATTTTCAGAATTCCTTGAGCTTCTTTTCTTTTCTGCTACATTTCTAAGTTGAATAAGAAGTAATTAAAATTCTCAAATTTATTTATTTATTTATTTATTTTACATTTTGACAGTAACATAATTAGAGCAAATGACTGTTTGCCAACTGTTTATGCAGCTTATTAAAGTCTTAGGACTTTGTTTGAAAGTGTCATGATAATCCAAATGAAGACATACGTTTCATGGCATTGCAGTCCACAGTAGGTGAAAACGGGAGTTCTGGCGATTAAAATGCAGATCTGCATATTGGGTGTCAGACTGTAAATCCCCAGAGGGATTTATAATTAAGTGTCACATTTTATCTACAGTACCTCCAGTTGTGTGTTGTCAGATACTTGTTTTGTTTTCTTTATTATTACTTAGCAAAAAACTACTTTTATCATTTCATGCTACTGTATATTAATCTTGAGGGTTTCCAATGTGTAAGATTAGTTAATGTTGTCGGTTCTCTTTCTGTGAAAAAAGCTGGACTCTCAGCGTACACATCTCATTACTATTCTGATTTTGGGGAGAGGCAAAATGCCACCAGCTGTTTTCAGTTACCTGTACAGCACAGGTAGCTTTAATCCCATGTTGGTTTGATTAAAACATGCTATAGTATATTTTCAAACCATGCACCTGTCACAACATTAAAATAGTCATTTTGCATACCTGGAGCTTTGCAGCTGTGGATTTGTATTTTGTTTGCTCTATTTGTATTGTTTACTCTGTGAAATGTATTTTTGTCAGTTTGAGGACTGGAATGGGTATCCTTTGGTCATTTCAAAGTATTTTCTGTACGTGGAACTAGCTTTTTGCATGTAAACTTAATTGCTGGAAAGTATTTGAAAAAAAAAAAAAGGAAAAATCACTTTTAAAACCAGTTGTTGTCACTTTCCTTTGGAATTCGTTAGATCGTAAACAAATGTAATAGACTTCACTGTTTAGAAGATAGTAACGCTTGGTCAACTGTTTGAACTGCTGTCTGTGCTAAAGAGAAGAAGAACTTTTTTAATTTTGGCAAGGGAACTAATCCTAGCCTTTACACACTTTTTGGCTCTGTTTCCAAATTTCCTAAGTTATCCCCAATTGCCTTTCTGTTCCTCACAGTCTTCGTTGATGTCATGAATCTTCTATTTAGAGAATTTTAAATTAAGCAGTGTGATAACGTTCTGACAAATATGATGTGTATACTGGCAAATAAAGACACACTCAGGTGATCGTTCTGATTGACTTTATACAGTTTTCTTCTGGGGTCATCTGTGATTCCCTCTGCTTCTTTGTTACACATCTGTTTCTCAGGAAAGATCTTCTCTAACATATTTATGCTTAACTTCCACTTTCCAACCAGTAAGTAAGCTGAAATAACTGAGGTTTGATTTAAACATGAAAGAACACTGTCTGTAAGTAACAATTATAATTTTACTGTGACCCAGCTTAGATCTTCTATATTATCCGCCAGTGATTTTTGTAGTACATATAGAAAAAAGCTCTCTGGGCTCTCATGGCAGCTCTGCTTTAAGATGTGCCTGAATATATGTATGTTTTAATACATATTAGCGTACATGAAAAAAAAAAATTGTTACAACAATTAAAGCATGTTTTCTTATCCTAAAGGTAGGAAGACTTAGTATAAAAAACTTCTATCATTTCTTCCCATTTCTGCAGATGAAAGGCGCGTAGCCCAGTGACTTTTACCAGATGAAAGTGGAGAGAGGGGTGCGTTTCTTTGCGATATGATCCTGATCATCTGGACCCATCCTCATCATCTGTGCAAATCCTAGGACTTCCACAAATAAGATAACGTGGTACTTGCTGCTGTTAAGGCTGGCATTTTCAAAAGGCTATACACTTTAAAATAACTTATCATTCCATATGGAGACTGGTGCGTATTTGGTACTTGGGAAGCTCTGAGAGGAGAGCTTAACGTTGTGTCCATATTCTTTAGAAGATTTCACAAGACATTTGGTACCCTTGTCTATCAGAAAAAAAGCTCCCATAAATGTTCTTCTCCAAATTATGGGAGATCTCTTAAAAGGTGATAATATGAACTATTAGGTATTTGTTTAAAAAACAAGGATTTATGAAGCTGTGGAAACATGGCAGAAATAAATTAAATACATGTGTTGTCTATATGGTAATAGTTGCTCATAATTTATAAACAGCCATTTTCTACTCAAAGGTAATATAAAAAGGAAGAGTTAATACACGTATGATTGAAATTCAGCTTCCAGCTGTGTGTGTGGCACCTTTCTTTCACCCGTGTTTCATGCATGTAGCTGAGTGGAATTACACGTAATGCTCATAGTTGTTAATTAGTTTGTTCTGTATCAGTAATTGCTTCAGTCAGGTAGAGCCAAGTTACATCACTTCTATGCAGATACAACTTTACCTGTCAAAGGTTTTCTCTGAATAGTTGTCTTCCTGGGGCAAGTTCTATATTAGGTAGTATTTAAAATCTTTTTGAAGCCATTAGTTACTTATTTCCAAAAACTCCTGTGAGTAAGGGCTAGTTAGCATTTTTCCTTGTAGGCTCCATGTCCTTTCTCTAGTGTATTTGTTTTTATAGTCCAGTAGTGCAGTTCTAATTTAGTGCTTGATTCATATTAAACATTTCATTTTACTCATAAATTACTCTGCTTCCTCAAAATTAAAGAGACCATTACTAAGGCATTTTGTTACCTGCTAATAATTTTGAGTAGCTACATTTCAGCATAGGGATTCTAAAAACTAAATTTGCTCTTGTATGAAAAATAGTAAGGATAGAAGGAAGAAAAACAAATGCAGAAATGAAATAAATTCTCATCAAGTAAGATCATGCAACAAATCAGCTGGGCTTTAGATAAATGATTTATTATTAAATTCAAAACCTAATAGGTTTGTGTGTTCTGAGTGTAGATTACACTGGTTTGTTTTCCACTTAATTAGAAGCCTTACATTTCATCTTATTAATAATGAAAATCCTCTTGTCAAATTGTGTAAGATCATGTTGAACTAATATGTATGTTTTAGAGGGAGAATAAAATCTCCCCTCATAGCCTTTCATATTATTTCATTGCATTATGCAAAAATGACATTCTGCTTTTAATTTTGCTAGTGTGAAATAAGAAAACTTCAAATCATCTTTCATTCCTGGTTGAGAAAGTCCTGGTTTCAAGAACTGCGGTGAAGATAGTTTCATCTCTGTAGCTGACTGTTCACCATTAAAGGTTAACTGTAAACAGAAATTCAGAATACCAGGCCAACTCAGCTTTATAAATGTAATGAGTAAGAGTATAAAATATAATAATCCATCAGTAATCAAAGCTTAAGTTATACCTTTCATATCAGTTCTTGTTGCAGTGGTTCAACAGTTCAGAAAGGGAGCAGGCTTAAACATGCCAAAGGAGACCAAATTTGTACCCCACTTGTTTATTAGAGTTAAGTACACATTTTCCATGGTATCACAGCATTTTCATCTGCCTATGCAGAGACCTAAAGCACCAATAGACTAAAATGTCAGTCACACAAGCGTTTGCTAATTAATGCCTACCCCAGAAAATGTCTGGCACTCTTAGGAAATCAGAGAGATATAGAATGTAGAGATCATTCATATTTATATACTTTTTTAAAAAAAAAAAAAAAAAAGCAGCAAAACGAAAAGGCGTTTAATCAGCTATTTTAAAAAGCTCCAAATCAGTCAGCCAGGCTAAAGGTCATGGAAATGAAGCTACACCTCAGCGAGCCTCAGAGGCAAATCATTGCACAAGCTGGTTGTGGTTTTCTGAGCGGGTCTGAAGCCCCCGGGAGCCCATGAGCGGGGCCAGGAGGCCAAGCGGTAGCATCAGCCGTTCAGCCCTCACCATCTGTGGTGCCTGCAGCCGAGTGACGGTGGGATGAAGTCGTTCCGTGTGTTGCCTTATTTCCAAGCACATGGGGTGGTTTATTTTTTTTTTTAACTGAACCTCCCAGGAGGCACGGCAGCGAGCACAAGCCACTGTCATCGGCAGCACCGGTAGATGTTGTGAAGTAGTGGAATTGATTGGGCAATGGCAATTAGGCTGTTTCCAGCCCCTTGAGCATACCCGCTAATAAAGCAGGGCGAGGGTGGGGTGGTATTGGTTGCTCTAAGCATGGCACTGGGAATAGGGAAAGCCCTTTAATTCCACATTTCATGCAAACTGGCTCTGTAGCCGTAGATGATTTGCTGATTTACCAGGCTCTTATTGCCAAAATTCGCTTTTTCTTCCATGTCACTGATATATCCAAGCACTAAATGACTTGTCGCAATATAAGGTTAATCGGTAAAACTGAATACTCTCTCTAAAGTATTACAATATAGAAATTGCTGCATGTGGTATTGTATTCAGAAGAATGCTTTCCTGCTTATGCTTAAACATGCCACATATGTATGCTGAGTACCTCAGTTATGCAGTCTTTTTGTGATGCTGGCTATCAACAAGAGTCACTGAAGGATCAGGATAAAGCCTAAGAAGATTTTTTCAAACTTTTCTGTGGGTTCAGTTCCCCAAATTAAGGATAGGCAGAAACAAATTTCAATACTTTCTAAACACCACAGAGAGTCGTTTTGATGGGACAGAAATTGCTACTTGGTTCTGGCATAATGCACCCTTTCAAAACAATCAATTAGAAAATGTATAGCAATGTCATAATTTAAAATTCTGTGCCGTTAATACAGTTGATGTTATTTTGGGGGTTCTCCTAAACATCCAACAACAATCCCTCTTCTTTTTTTCCCCCTTCTTCCACCCACAGAACACACTTCAAGAACACAGGTTACCCTTGATATCAGACGCGAGAGTCACTGGAGAGGGATTGCCACCCTCAGTGCTGGGACCCCATGGAGCCCTTTGAGAGAAAGGGTGGTAGAGCGTGACCGAGGTGGGAGCCCCACCAGGAAGCTGAGAGAGAGCAATTGCTGAAGGTAATTGGAAAGCAGGTGTTTCCAGACAGTCTGTAAAGGTCCAAAGATGCCGGTACCCAAGCTACTGTGAATCTTGCAAATAGATTTGCTCCTCCACTACCTCCTCAGTTTGTTTTTTGTTTTTTTTGTATTTTTTTTTTTTTTCCTGTGGAACGGGGTGATCCGCCCTTAGGCAAGCATTTCACTGCCAGAAGTATTTCAAGGAATTGTTCTTCTCTGAGTGCGTATCCCACCCTCTCTAATTATGCATAATATTTCACTGAAAGCTTTCTCAAAAGGTAGACATGCGGCATAAGACCCATTACGTCAACAGCCTGAAATACAGAATACACTTAAACTGTTCATTGTTATTCCAGGCAATCCAAATTAAGTAAATGCTGCAATCAAAAGAACAAAAGCTGTAAAATGATTCAATGAATTTATAGTCCATGTAACCAGTGGATGACAAACATTCCTGCCTTGTACAAAAAGCAGAAATGTTGAAGTTTATGCGAGGGGTGGATCTGAAAAAACCTTGAAACGTCGTGGTGGTCTGCAGTTAGAGCTTCAGCCTTCGCTTGGATCCACTAACTCTATCTGTCAGTGGATTTCTCAGCAAGTAGTTGCACCTGATCTTACCTGTTTGGGTTTTTTTTTCTGGATAAATGTGGGGCTATGCTTTTCACTCTAATGTTTCCTTTTGTAAGGGGATATTGAAACATTTAACAATTACTGATTGCAGTGTATAGCCCAGTGTCAGGTGAGCATATTGATATTCTCAACCTAACCCTGAAATGAGCCAGTTTGAAAATGAAGCCCAGGAAGCTCTGAGCAGTTCAAGCCACTGCTGCACACCAGTTTGAGGGAGGAGACAAAAACATCAATCCTAATTTAATGGGAGAATTTTCAGGTAGACGGTAATTGAGTTGGAATTTGGCCAAAGCCTTGAGGTTAAAGAACCTGCTCTTAGGAAATGTATTAGGGGATCTTTAATGAATGCAAACAATTGAGATCGCAGTTTCATCTCTTCTGCAAAGGATAGCAGAAAAGTCTCACTTCCCTCCAGAAATACTACATTGCCTGTAATCAGGCTGGGGCATTGAAAAAAATATTCTGAAACACCAGAACTGTTTTCAGATCAACAAAGATCTCAATTTGTTGACCTGTAGGAGGAGTAGCTGGCTCATGTATTTTAATAATAACCCTCACATCAATGCTGAGAAATAGCCACTAAGCAAGTACAGGTGTCCCTAAGTATATTGAGTTGAATTACTTTGAATTCAACTAAGTTGGGTGGATTTTTTCCCCTTTTTTTTTATTTT